GGTGGGGGGGGGTCTGCCATGATGTAGTTTACTTGGCATTTGAAAATACATTTCCTCAAAGGTATTTTTAATCTGAAAAGAGCTTCTCTGAGTGAGCAGCGGTGTTAAGAGCACAGCAGACAGTTAGGTTTCACTTTCACTTTCACCTGAGCACCTGCAGGAGTCATGGGCAGGGTATGTGGGGAAGGGGGGGTGTGCGCTCTGCCATGAGGACGTTCGGCTTAAAGACACGTCTCAGGGGCGTTTCTGGTCCCCACCTGTCGTTTTGCTCCTCAGCATGACTTCATAAAAATGCTGCAGGATTTCTCAAACATGCATGAATGAGTCAAAGCAAGGCTTTGGGCATGTTTTTTTTATGCGAGTATTACATTATAACATGATGTAAAACTCAAAAAAGTTGATTTTAAATGATATTGCACCTTTAAAAGTAGACATAGCACAAACATTTATTGGGAAAATATTTCCTCTCTATGAAAAAGCTCAACAACTCACCTTACAACACATATTGCATTTAATGGCATTACTAAGCCACATGGAAATAAGCTCATGCWTATACTGAGGTATTAAAACTCCATGAAAATCAATTGCTTAAAATAAATTCCAAATTTTACCAAAGCAGACTAAATAAGTAATAAATAAATAAAATAATTTAATAGTGATAGACGTTGTGGAAACTGTTCTAAATGCAACATATTAAAAAGTGCATAGAGTAGAGCGATCAGAAATATAAAGAATAAAAGAAACTTTTTTTGTGAAGAAACTTTCTTTCAGTCATGAATCCTCAAATGACCTCTGACTCAGCCACAGAAATGAGGCAAGTTGCTGATCCTCACACTTGGCCCTCAAATCTGCTTCAAAGTGGAAGAAAAACTGGAATTTGAAAACATGTCCTGRAATAAGAGACGCCTGGCACAGCCCCCTCCCCTCACCTTGCCAATTGATTTTTTTGTCTCTTTTCCACTTAGCAAGCATCACCATTCTCCTGCATAAACATCAGAAAAACCCAGAGGGCTCATCTCTCGGACAGAATCAATAACAACAGGAGTCGTATTCACATTATAAACAACAGGTCCTGCATACTCATGCTATACAGCGTGCACCGAGGAAGGCTGCTTATCGCTCYGTGTGCGGCGAGTGGGCTGGGACTTAACAAAAGGCAGGGAGAAACGACAACAGAAACTAATCAAGGAGAAACAGGCTGAGGGAAACCTCCATTTGATAACTTCAGGTAATACCACCTTAAAGCTGGCGGTGGTGGTTTGAGTTGGATTCATTTATTCAAAACCCATTTTGAAGAATTATAGTGAAACTCCAAAGAAACAGCAGTTACTGAAACTGTGTTCAAAAACTGTGTTCAAAATTAATGTGTGCAGAAGAAAAATAGTAAGGATCAATGCAGTTTAGCGAAACTGAGCCTTGAACTAAAAGCTGAATTTCTGTTGCTAATACAGCGGGTAAAATAAGTATTGAACACGTCACCATTTTTCTCAGTAAATATATTAGTAGAGGTGCTAATGACATGAAATTTTCACC